TCAGCTGCCCCCTCCCTTTCCCTTCCCTTCCCCCCAGCCTCACCCCATCCCACCCCCATCATGCCCATCGTTACCCTCATCCACCGCCTGCCCCAACCCCAGCGCAACAACATCCCCCTCCTCCCCCGCCCTCATCAGCTCACACCCCCAAAACATCTGCCGCCTGCCATACTGCAGCGCACGCACCGGCAGGATATACTCTTGCAGGCACCAGGCGCGGGCGCTGATGGGCTCGTGGGCGAGGGCTCTATCGTTGCCGGTGGCGGTGGTGGTGGTGGTGGTAAGTGGGTGGTGGGGGGAGGGGGGGAGGAGTTGGAGGTGAAATTTGAGGTCGAGGGTGGGGTTGGGGGTGGGATTAGGGGTGGGATTAGGGGTGGGATTGGGATTGGGATTGGGATCCGGGTTGGGATTAGGGGAGAGGGAAGTGACGGGATTGGGACTGACATTGGGGGAAGTGGGTGTGGAGGTGGAGGTGGAGGTGAGGGGGGTTGGTGGCGGTGGGAGGGGGACGGTGTCCGGGGTGTGTCGCGGTTGGAGGAAGCCTTTGCTGTCCGAGTCGCTGTTGGCGGCGTTGAGGACCAGGTGCGCGTTGCGGTAGACGTGGGCCATCTGGGCGGCTTCTTGGGCCCAGTCGGCCGCGTCGTCTTGGATGATGCAGAGGCTGTCGATCCAGAGGTACTGCAGGCCGAGCTCTTTTGTGAGGGTGACTGAGTCCCGGAAAGTTTGCGGGAGGTCGCGAATATCGATGCCGCTCATCCTGAGAGGGAGCGTTTGGTGTGTGGTTGTGAAAGGGGTCCCGCCCTGGCCCCAGCAGTGGCTGAGCGCGATATATCGAGCATCGCCGGCTGAGTCGAGCGTGGCGGACTCCCGTAGGTAGATTTTGTTGGATTCGGGCACAACTTCCAGCAGGCGTGTGGGCCTCCATTTCTCACTTCCCACTGAGCTGCAGTCCGCCCCATGGCTGTTCACGCACGTCTCCAGCCAACCCCTCGCAACATCCAGACTCTCTTGTGACAGAGGATCCTTACGAACAAGAAGATCCGTATGCCGCACAACCTTCGCGAACACCTCATCCGCTGCATCGGCCGCACCCAGAGCAACAGAACCCCCACCCCCCCGCGCAATACGCAGCTCCGCCACCACACGGCCAACAACATCAAACGAAGCCGCCGTCGTCGGACCACACTTCACCCTCAGAAATAAACTGAACGCATTCCCCCGGCCATCCCGCACCCTCCTCGGCCTCCGCACCACCTCAACCGTGATCCCCTCCGCATCCCGGTACGCCGGGATGCGGTTGACAGGGTCGTTCAGGCCCGGCGGCGGGTTCGCAGGGTCAAACATGGCGTCCTGTATCGCCTGCTCAACCACCACCTCGCGGCTGGCCTGCCAGCCCTTCATGATGGCCGCACAGAGAGCGCATGAGGAGGAGGAGGTGTCGACGGAGGCGAGGGTGCTGTGCCATGGTGATGTGAGAGTGAGGGAGTCGCTATTCTGGCTTTTATCTTGAGATACGATACGCTTGACTGAGGCCTGAATATCGAGCCCCGCGCAGAGTTTGCAGAGAGTAGCGGCCTCCATTCTCTGGTCGGGTGAAGTGATTGGGTCTGGGCTGCTTTCTGGATTTGGGCTGGAACCTAGATTTCGGTGTTTGAGCTAAGGCGGGTCCATAAATGCGTTAACAAGGCCAGACCAGACATGTTGATGAGTAAGTGAGGTGCAGAACCTCCCCAACCTTAGTGTCCCGTAAGCTGCAGATAGTTGAGCCTGAAACCCATCGCCGCCACATGCTGTTTACTCTAGACAAGGGTTAGGGTCCATTTACCCCTGAATATCGATGTGGTCGTCGGCAACTTGGGGCACCAAGCACTGTTACACATATCCAAAGTGAAGTCAACGACGCACACACAACCTCACAGATCACAGAATAGGTCACCCCCAACACAAAATCACACACGCTTGTTGAATGCGCTGCCGCCCAGTACCGTACCAAACGCTATGACACCGACCCCCCAAACAAACACGCACCCAGGAAACCGGACCGGACCGGACCGAACCGAACCAAACCCGAAACCGAACGCCGCCCTTCATGATGATCATGGATGCTCGTGATAACTACGAAAAACCCCGAGCAGTAGCACATACAACGCTTCTCCCCCCCTTCATCTCCATCTCCTTCTCCATCGCCTTCTCCATCGCTGTCCATACACAGGACTTCATAACAAACACAAAGATATACATATGAAAAAGAACGACCGGACGGTGTAGTGTCGTGACTCTGAACTCGCTTCGACAATCCCAACCCCAGCCCCAACCCAACCCGAAGGAAAACCCGAATACGCCCAGCAAAAGACGAAAACCCCGGGTATCCATCCATCCATCTTATCCCACGCCCTGCCCGCTCTGATCTCCACCTCCAAACCGCGAAGCGACACTCCCATGCCTATGAAATGATGGTCCAAACAAAACCACAACCAAATGCTCAACACATTCGCTGCCGGCCCTTCCCACTCCCACCCCTTTTCTTCCTCTTTGATCCCTCTTCGCTCCATCCCCCCCATTTTTTTTTTCTGTTTTGTGTGTTTTTTTGTGTTTTTTGTTAGTTTTTTTTTTTGTTTTTTTTTTTTTTTTTTTTTTTTCGGGGGGGGGGGGGGGGGGGGGGGGGAGGGGGGGGGTTTT